TATATATATATATATATATATATATATATATATATAAAATATATATCTAGTTACATTTTCTTTGTAAATATTTTATTGCACCTGTTTGACTCTTTTAGTAATAAATCTTTCTTTCTGAAAGTGTTAAACTGTTTCTAAGCGCTTACTTGCAATTCGCGAATTCCTGCCTTTGAAGAGACGCTACTGTGTTTGTTTAATCCTCTGCCCAATCGGCCTGCGGTGACCGTATTGGACAGGCGACTTTTCAATCATTATAGTGTATATTTGATAACGGGAGTTTCCCAGTCTCCGACAAAAGTGGTGGTGGCAGTAGAGGGTTAGTTGCATAATTAACCTGACCCTGTAACAAGCGCATTCAGGCTGCAGGCACCGATTGTAGCCCATTAGCTGGACAATCGCTGTGCAGGGTGCAGCTGGGTGTGGCCTTGTTACGCGCGTCACACTGCGGTTTTAGATTGGCCGGTCCTTTGGTCACGAGTTTGGTGAGAAGGTCTGGGGTCTGACGCGGCGGGCGTGACGTATTATTGTTGGTCGCGGTTGTGCGACTGTCACATGTTGGTGGCGGCGATCGTGACACTAGGAACTTAGGATGAATTAGACAATTTATTTTTCATTCAAAAGGTACCATCACCACTGTCTCAAAATATAAGCAATTGGACTATACTTTTGACATTTTGTGACATACTACATTTACATACAGTTTTTGTACTGTATCAGACTTTGTTATATATATTTAGATTTCATTTGCATTGATATATCTTTGCACTTTTTTGAGTCATGTTTTTATCATGTTGATACCATTTCTTCATTAATGTTTATATGGTTGATTTAGTGTGTGAGTGCACCTGTCTTTCTTAATTAAATTGAACTACACTGCCATACAACAAGGTCTGCGCACTCAGACCTTCCCCTCGGACTCTTCTGCAGCACAATACAAGGCTTAAATCTATGCTAACAGTTATGTTGATAACAGCTTGACTTAATTATCTGATTCCTGAGATGGTGAATATACCTTTGAACAGAATGCAAGAAACTATGATAACTACTTTGCAACATTTTCTTCTGACTTCTGAAGGTAACTATTTGTATTTCAAAGTATACTTTACCAATAAAGTTATTTGTAAAGAGTCATGGAATCACACCTGGGGATGCAAGACCGTTTACGTGATGACCTGTAGACGATTGGCAGAGGGTTTTCAATGAGATCAATCAGCAGAGCCTTGGTTCAAGATATTGCTATGTTTGATAGAGCATCTTGTCGGAAGACTGAGTGATCAAGATGGTGATCTAGAGAGTGATGATTCGAGGAGTGTACTTTGAGTGGTGATGATGATGATCGATCTTGAAAGAGTGATGATGCGGGGCGTTGTCGAGCAGCCACTGAAGATGGCCGCATTCTGAACTAGCTCCTCTCTACCCGGGCACACATAATCTCTCAGCCCCTCCAAAGACGAGCCTGACACCTCCCTTTCCCTGGTAACCCCCCAAACCCGGCTGCATCACTTCATAGGAGCAGATTGCCAAGTAACCGGTCCCTATCATTAGTGGTGCCACTCCGAGAGCAGGGGGAGGTGGCAGCCACCATTTTCCAATGGCTCACGTGAGCTCCCCCCAGCCTGTACCATACTGCAGGACTGCTTGGCCGCTCGACCTACCTCCGCTCCTCTTGCTCCCCGGGACTGGACCCCCACCTGTAGCCTGCCTTTGGCGGCCCATCCGACACAGCAGGACCAGGCCTTGTCCTCCTTAGCTGCCTTCTAGCGCCAGGCCCTGGCTCCTCAGGCCTCTGGAGCTCCATAAGCCACGAGGGAAACCCCTGTGGCAGACGATAGGCCAGCATCCCCTGGAAGGAACCCGCCGGAACAATAGTAGAGATCTGGGCTAAGCTGTGGTTCCCTTACTTTCTGATCCAGATACCCAGCACACAGATGAGACAACACTGATGCCCCTGCCATCATTTGGGAACCTACATGTTGCAGGCTCTTGAGCCTAATCTGCTCTTTCACCTGTAACCCTCCGCAATCCTGCCACAACCTCAATTTGCTACAGTTTAATCTCAAACCCTGTTTTTCACCCGCTATCTGTTTCTTGAGAGTCCTGAGAGCTGGAATTCCTTGCCTACAGATCTCCTGAACCACCGGACACACTGAGGTACCACTCGCTCCTAGCGAGAACATGGGCAAAAATTCCATAACCACTCCAGCCAAATCAAGCAAATCCATGGCGAACACCACCAAGTCCTCAGCCACTCCTGCTAAAAAGCCCCAAACTAAAATGAACTCTCCACAGCCTTCACATGAATTTTCCTCTTCATCTCAAGAGCATGGATCTCAACAGGATGACTCCTCCAACAATAGTCTTTCAGCCGCACAAATTGCAGATCCCACTGCGGTGACAGAACGAAACTCAGCACTTCTCTAAAAGAATCGTGCCCCATCATTGGTGTCAGTTGGAGGAATCGTGCCCCATCATTGGTGTCGGGGAGGAATGGTGCCCCATCATTTGTATCAGTGGGAGGAATCGTGCCCCATCATTAGTGTCAGTGGGAGGAATCGTGCCCCATCATTGGTGTCAGTGAGAGGAATCGTGCCCCATCATTGGTGTCAGGGGGAGAAATAGTGCCCCATCATTGGTATCAGTGGGAGGAAGTGCCCCATCATTGGTGTCAGTGGGAGGAATAGTGCCCCATCATTAGTGTCAGTGGGAGGAATAGTGCCCCATCTTTGGTGTCAGTGGGAGGAAGTACCCCATCATTGGTGTCAGTGGGAGGAATAGTGTCCCATCATTGGTGTCAGTGGGAGGAATAGTGCCCCATCATTGGTGTCAGTGGGAGGAAAAGTGCCCCCTCATTGGTGTCAGTGACACCAATGTGGGGGCACTATTCCTCCCACACTGACACTAATGATGGGGCACTATTACTCCCACTGACACCAATTATACTTACATCGCTGTGCTGACCCCTGCTCTAGCCCGCGCTCCTCCTCCTTCAGGCACAGACACTTACTCATCAGCTGTCTTCCTTCTCCAGCCGCTCTTCTCCTCTTCACCAGCTCCAGCTGCTCCCTCATTCGATCTTCAATCTTCATGCTGCCTCTCATTGCGATCAAGATCCAGGAAGATGAAGACACCGGATGGACACCCTCTGCACCCCTCCTCCAGCAGCGCCTTGTGGACCAGATCAACGTGGGACATGAAGTCAGGTAAGACACAGCAGCCCCTGTCCCTTTCCCACAGAATTGTCCTTTCCGTGGGAAAGGGGGGGCGGCACTGCCGCCGCACCGCCCCCCCTAAAAAGTGCCACCCTAGGCAAATGCCTTGTTTGCCTCGTGGCAAATACGCCTCTGAGTCCCCCCCTAAGTGAAAATGTCCATATTGGGCCTAATGTGTCAATATTTTGTGTGGCCACCATTATCTTCCAGCACTGCCTTAACCTTCTTGGGCATGGAGTTCACCAGAGCTTCACAGATTGCCACTGGAGTCCTCTTCCACTCCTCCATGACAACATCACGGAGCTGGTGAATGTTAGAGACCTTGTGCTCCTCCACCTTCTGTTTGAGGATGCCCCACAGATGCTCAATACGGTTTAGGTCTGGAGACATGCTTGGCCAGTCCATCACCTTTACACTCCGCTTCTTTAGCAAGGCAGTGGTCATTTTGGAGGTGTGTTTGGGGTCATTATCATGTTGGAATACTGCCTTGCGGCACAGTTTCTGAAGGGATGGCTCTGCTTCAGTGTGTCACAGTACATGTTGGCGTTCCCACAATGAACTGTAGCTCCCCAGTGCTGGCAGCACTCATGCAGCCCCAGATCATGACACTCCACCGCCATGCTTGAATGTTGGCAAGGCACACTTCTCTTTGTACTCCTCACCTGGTTGCCGCCACACACGCTTGACACCATCTGAACCAAATACGTTTATCTTGCTCATCAGACCACAGGACATGGTTCCAGTAATCCATGTCCTTAGTATAGAAGAGGCTTCCTTCTGGGATGACAGCCATGCAGACCAATTTGATGCAGTGTGCGGCGTATGGTCTGAGCACTGACAGGCTGCCCCCGTCCACCCCTTTCAACCTCTGCAGCAATGCTAGCAGCACTCATATGTCTATTTCCCAAAGACAACCTCTGGATATGATACTGAGCACGTGCACTCAACTTCTTTGGTCGATCATGGCGAGGCCTGTTTTGAGTGGAACCTGTCCTGTTAAACTGCTGTATGGTCTTGGCCACCGTGCTGCAGCTCAGTTTCAGGATCTTGGCAATCTTCTTATAGCCTAGGCCATCTTTATGTAGAGCAACAATTCTTTTTTTCAGATCCTCAGAGACTTGTTTGCCATGAGGTACCATGTTGAACTTCCTGTGACCAGTATGAAAGAGTGAGAGCGATAGCACCAAATTTAACACACCTGCTCCCCATTCACACCTGAGTCCTTGTAACACTAACGAGTCACATGACATCGGAGAGGGAAACTGGCTAATTGGGCCCAAATGGACATTTTCACTTGGGGGTGTACTCACTGTTGTTGCCAGCAGTTTAGACATTAATGGCTGTGTGTTGAGTTATTTTGAGGGGACAGCAACTACTTTACATTGTAGCAAAGTGTCAGTTCTTCAGTGTTGTCACATGAAAAGATATAATAAAATATTTACAAAAATGTGAGGGGTGTACTCCCTTCTGTGAGATACTGTATAAGTGTGTTTGTTATTGTTATGCACTTTTTCCCCATCTCCCCCCCTCCCCCTTTATGTCATCTTCCTTTTCCTATCCTTTCCTCCCCCCTTTTTCCTAACGTCAGGCGTTAGATAGCTATCTCTTTCTAACACGTTCTCTGATTATATACTACAAGGTGCACCAGGTAGGTTCTGGCGACCCCCAACTATGATAGTGTGTTCTACCACTGGCCATCGATTGCTTAGGCAACCTTGTCTTTGATACCCCTTCTACACTTTTCTTTCCTGTACACCTCCCCCTAGTCTTCTCTTTTTTTTGTTTTCTCAGGATGTCGAAGTGCCTGCACACTCCCTACTTGAATCGGGTTGGATGCACTCCAAAAGATGAACAAACAAAACCAGCGCTCCAATCCTCATGCAAACTGGAAAAATGTCAGGATGCCAAACGAAGAGGTGCTGCCCTTCAAAGATCGGGAAATCTGACCACTGATAAAAAAGAACAGACAAGGGCACACTCTCATCGTGCATTACCGTGGTATACCATGTATTTATTAAATAGACAAAGGATGTATACTCACAAACCAACGATAATAAAAGCAGTGTGTATGGTCCACAAAAACAGTCGCAAAAGAGCTGTGTCTTAATTGTGGATAAGCTAACGCATTTTGGGAGCTGAACCCCCTTCCTCAGAGATGGAAATGAACCTGCTGGCCACAAGCCCACATACCAAAGAAATGTCAAAAGGAGGGTGGAATAGACCCTCCCACCCACTCCCAGCAGCCCAATGACACGGCCAAAAAAAAACAAAACAATAAAATGGCATACATAATCATATAACGAACAGCAACTAATATAATACATGGAATACACACAGGCTGCCACACATGTAATAGGCTGAAGGCACACTTATATTTACCCCCATGGAAAGTGGTCCTGGTATTTGATGGATGGTCATTATCTTAAATAGAAAACTGCCTCCAATGTGGAACAGCCCGAATGCTGCATAACAATAGATGGAAGGCAGTGTATGACGATGACGTGGTTATTGCTTAATAAGCATGTGAAGACACTGCAAGATGGGTGAAGTATAAGTGAATGAAATGAATGGAACCATTCATGTGAACAGCGCATGCGCGCAGTATCCAAACCACGGGCCGCGCATGCGCCAAGGAGACAGGCTTTCCAACACTGGTCTAGATGCATGTCATGCAAAAAATAAATGAAAGGAATGTGGGACTCGCTGAGTGGCGCTGGGAGGCGCTGCTAATAAATGATAAGTAGTGATATATAATATGTTGTGATATATAAAAAATAAATAAATAGATTAAATAAAATAAAAATGATAAAATAAAATAAATATTATAATACAATGTAATAGATATGTAATATTGATAATAATGATATGAGAGAAAAAAAAATAGAGAAAAAGTATATATAAAACTGAAAGTGAAAAAAATAATAATGAAAATCAAGAAAATATGACATGAATTGCTATGTAGGATAGGAAAATAAATAAATAAGTTTTCTTTATTAAAAATAGGACATGAATTACTAGAATGGATGGATGTGAAAGACCTGACAGTGGGATATAGGCCAGGCCAGCAGGGGCACAAACATAAATTATGCATATGCTGAACTAACAATAAATATATACATATATAATTAATGATATAAAAATAATAAAATTAATAAAAATGTATGCAAATATGTATACATACATATGCAATACAAAATATCAATGCGGGCTACGTATACATATATGCTCAACATCATAAGCCACAATAGTAATTGAAATGAAAAAAACTAAAAATATATATAAAGAAAATGTATAAAAATATATATATAGTAGTGATTTAGCCAAGTAAACGATACAATAAAATGCCTAAAAATTATATATAAATATATAATATAGTATATAATATAATGTAATATAATAATGTAAAATCCATACATACTTTCGACATACGAAGAATGGATGTGTGTATATATATATATATATATATATATATATATAAATGTATATGGAGGGAATGTACGTAATAAAATGCAAATACTCTATAAAAATATAGAATAATCAAAATTCAATATAATATCAATGAATAAAAGCAGGAAAAAAAGAGAAGCCAAAAAAAAAAAAAAAGGCAAGACGGGAACAAGAAAAGGGTGACCAAGTATAGCAATGAACCTAAAATCAATCAAGAAAAGACTAAACGAGATTGTACATCAAGGGCATCATTTAGGCCCTTAGGCAGTAGCGTGTCTAATTTATGAATCCAATAGGACAGAGGCAGAGTTTTCAAAATCTTCTACCTGAATAAATATCTCCTTGTATATTCTCAATGCCAAAAACCTTCAGTGTAAAACCCACAGGGTTTTCCTCATGTTTTTCATTAAAAGTGACAAGGCACCGTGTGTTTGTCAAACCCATGTAATATATTGCGTTTATGCTCCCCAAATTGGGTCCTCAGTGAACGTGTGGTGCGACCCACATATAAAAGTCCACATGGGCGTACCAGCCATAAACAACAAACTGTGTGCCCGAGTTAATAAACTGACTGATGGGATGGACCCTTCCATCAGTGCCCATAAAATCCTTTTTTCTATGCCACATAAAAGGGCAAGCCCCACAATTAGGCACACCACACTTGTAACTACCTTTCTGATCAAAGATGGTATTCCATACAGAAATAGGCCGTGTTTTTGGTGGATTTGACCCTATTGGGAGCAATCATGCTCCTCAAATCCCGTGGGCGTCGGAAGATGACTTCAGGCCGAGACGGCAGGTGTGCAGAAAGGTGAGGGTCTTGGGCCAAAATGCCCCAATATTTATACAATATCATACAAAGAGAGAGATAAGAGGAGTGGGCTAATATGGAAGAAGTTCAGTTTGTAACCTATAATGTAAAGGGGCTGAGTTGCCCTGGGAAGAGATTTAGATTATTTAGGGAGTTGCAACACAGAACATCCTCAGTGGTTTTTTTTGCAGGAGACACACTTAGAGATGGAGTTGAAGGTTAGGCTGAGGACTAGATATTTCCCGACATGGTATTATGCGGACTCACCAATTAAAAGAGCAAAAGGGGTTGCTATAGGCTTTGCAAAAAATATAAGGTTTGAGGTGGAAAAGAGAATAATAGACCCAGAGGGAAGGTTTTTGTTTCTGAGGGGTAAGTTGCAGGAAATTGAATGTACACTGGCTAGTATATATTGCCCAAATAAGAAACCGGAGATATTCCTGAGGGAAGTATTGAAGAAGCTGATGTTTTTAAAAGGGGGTCGCTTGATAGTAGCTGGGGACTTTAATATCTGCATGGACCTACGAATGGATAACACCTCTTGTGTGAGGAGGGAGGAGAGTCGGTCCCTGAGATTATTAAAGAAATTGTTGAATGAATATCAAATGCTGGATATATGGAGAATTAGGCATATGAAAGATAGAGATTATACATTTTTCTCACAGGTTCATGAGACTTATTCTAGATTGGATTATATATTGGTAGAACATCAATTCATAGATTCTGTGGTAGAAGTAAAAATTGGAGGAAGTTCTATTTCTGATCATGCCCCGGTTGCAATGAAGTCAAGATGGAGGAGAGAGGAGGATTTGTTTGGCGGATGAATGAGGCACTTCTTCTGGAAGAGGAGATCGATTGAAAGATCACGATAGAAACTAAAAGATTTTTCGAAGAGAATGATACAGAGGAGGTGTCGGTTGCAACAGTGTGGGAAGCCCATAAGGCTTATATTAGAGGACTATTCATTGCAATAGGGGCAAAAAATAAAAGAGAAAGGAGGGAAAAGATTAATAGACTCTTAAATGAAATATTCGATCTTGAACAGGCTCATAAAAGGAAAACATCTAAAGAGATAATGCAGAAAATAATAAAGAAGAAAGAGGAATTAGAGAAGGTAATAGAGGAGGAAAAAAGAAGAGTCTTTAATAAAGTAATAAGTGAAAGATATAGATGGGGAGATAGGCCAGGAAAATATTTAATGAGGGTCTTGAGGAAAAAAAAAAAATAGGAATTTTATAGAAAAAATAAGAAATTTTAAGGGTGAAATGGTGCATTCAACTAAAGATATCGCTCCAGTGTTCAAGGATTATTATAGTGATCTATATAATATTATACCCCAGAATACTTTCAACAAAGCTGATATAGTAAATCTAGAAAAAAGAAGAACATATTTAAAAAATGCAGGTCTTGCAAAATTAAGTGAAATCCAATTGAACTCCTTAGAATCAGAAAATCACGTCAGAGGAAATAGAAATAGCATTAAAAAACACAGCGGTGGGGAAAAGTCCGGGCCCAGATGGGTATACTGCAAAATACTATAAAAAATATAAAAGAGTTGTTAATACCCAAATTGAAGATATATATGAATGCTTTGGGAGGTGAGATGGAGATAAGGGGAGAGTCCTTACAGGCTAATATAGTTTTAAATTCATAAGGAAGATAAAGACCCCTCTCAGTGTGCAAGTTACAGACCAATTGCACTGTTAAATGTAGATACTAAACTGTATGCAAAGGTTCTGGCAAATAGACTTAAGGTCTTGATGCCAGAATGGATACACGGAGATCAGGTGGGGTTTGTCCCGGGAAGAGAGGGCAAAGATAATGGATTGAGATCATTGTTGCTCATACAGGAAGGTAAAAAGGGGAAAACCCCAGTAGTACTACTGTCAATCGACGCTGAGAAAGCATTTGATAGAGTGAGCTGGGGATTTATGATGGACACCCTGGAGGTGATGGGGTTGGGGGATAGAATGAGGAAGTGGATTGGTAACTTATATAGAGGGCCTACAGCCGCTATTATGGTTAATGGAAGAAGATGGGAGATTCTCAGGATGTCAAATGGAACAAGACAGGGATGCTTTCTATCTCCACTGTTGTATGTCCTATCGTTGGAGCCACTGCTGTCTATGATAAGAAAGAACATAAATATAAAGGGAATAAAGATAGGAGATAGAGAACATAAGGTAGCGGCTTACGCGGATGATTTGATGTTCTACGTTGGAAATCCTCGGATATCACTTCCACATTTAATGAAAATACTGAAGGAATATGGGGAATTATCAAATTTAAAAATTAATCCAACAAAAACTGAAATTCTAAATATAAATCTTAAAAATAGTGAAAAAGAAATAATAAAAGAAGAATTCCCCTTTGTTTGGAGAGAGAAAGAATTAAAGTATCTTGGGATAAAACTGTCTGCTTCAATTAAAAATATGTACATAATTAACTATATTTCACTTTTAAAAACGAGATTAAGGAGGAGTTGAAGAGGTTGGGGAGTGGAAATCCGTCTTGGATGGGTTGTATAAATCTGATTAAAATGATAAATTGTGCCCAAAGTTTTATATAAATTCCAAATGATTCCAATTAAACTCCCAGAGGTCATTTTTAAAACACTTACAAAAATGCTGTTGGAATTTATATGGAGGAATAAAAAACCAAGAATACGTTATGATACGCTGACTAGAATTAAAGAGAGAGGCGGTTTAGGACTCCCAGATTTCAAG